AGAGCCCCAGCATCACCCCAGGGACTCGAGCTGCTGGAACAGCACAGCCGCTCCCCAGGCATGTGGGGCTGAGCATGGGCATGGGGCGGCATCGCCCAGCCAGCCCAGCCTCCCTGCGAGCCAGCTGACCGCCCATCTCCTCTCTCAGCCAAATTCCTCTTTTAGAATAATAAACAGCACGGCTCAAGAGAAAAGCTCTCTGCCCTGCCGGGTCAGGGGCAGCTTGCCCTCGCATCATGGTGCCGGAGGGGGACAGAGGGAAGGTCTGTAACTGAGGAGAGGATGGTGAGGGGAGGGAGAGCTGTGATTTCACCCTGGGGGCTGCAGGGTGGAGGCTGCTGCGGGGCTGAGTGAAGGGCACAGGACATGGCATTGCTGCAGGACCTCCCTGGCATCCAGGCGTGTGTCAGGATGGGTGGAGGGAGGCGGTCCCATGGCTTGAAAATGCTCAGGTCCTGGCCAGTAGGAAGGATGTAACAGTCTATGGAGTCCATGACACACTAGGAGGAGGCAGCACAAGGCCGCTGAGCATCCTGTAGGTGACTGTGTTTGGGTCCCTGGGTGGAACAACATCTGGGTGCCTGCTTTCAGCTCACTGCACCCCCCTCAGCTCCTCCTTGTCTGGCACTGGTAGCACACTGTGGTGGTTTGGCCCTGGCCAGAGGCCAGGCACTCACCCAAGCCGCTCTATCACTCCCCTTTTAGATGGACAGGGGAGAGGATTTTACTGCTCTTGCCGAGATCAAAAGCTGAGATTGAAGAGGGAAACAGCAAGTGCTCTCGAGGCTGGCAGTGAGCTGGGTGTATTTGCATCTCTTGTGAAACACAAGCACACGTGTCCCTGTGAGAAGAAGGTTTGTCCTTCTGCTAGCCAGGCTCTGCGTTCATCCTGCAGACCCAGCAGAGCTCAGCAGCTCCGAGCGTGCCTCTAGCCCCGGCCACAGCACACAAACAGGGGAGAGGTCACCACTCTGTGAGACGTTGCCACCCTCCCACTCTGCTTGAGAAGCATCTGCGGAGAAATGCCTTTCTGCAAACCCGGCAGCTTTATTAAAACCAGCCATGAACAGAGGGGAGGCGGCTGAAGGCTCTTGCTGATCGCTGTAGCAACACCCCTGCTGGCCCAGCCCCCTGCACCCATGTCCCCCTCCCCAGCTCCAGCAGAGTGGTGGTTTGCACCATCGGTGACCCTGCAGCAATCACTGGGGGAGTGAGGGAGATGTCTGCATGGGCAGAGCCAAGATCTGGCCTGCAGCAGCACTAACGGTGGCAGCCATGAAGCTGCCAGGCAGCTCAAAGCTGGGCATGGGCTTGGGAAGACCTCAGCTGCTGAAGGCAGGTTCTTGGGGGTGAGGGGGAGTGAATGCGGCCTGGCTTGTGCATGCAGGCAGGGAGGGGTGAAAGGAGAAGATGCCGGTTGTCCTTACAACCTTGAACGTTGCATAATGGATGAATCACACACCTCTGTAAAGGAGAAGTGGGGAACAAAGGTAATTGTTCTCATGGCAGTGCCCTGGGGGGCAGCGAGATGAGGTTGTTGGTCCTTCTCTCCTGCAGGTTGGTGCTCTCTGGGGGTGAGTGCAATGAGGTCAGGTTCATTTACGGCCTGAATTTCACCTCGGTCCTTTCATCCTGCCCATCCCCAGCTTATCTCCATAAGTGCTCTCATCCCCTCTGGCAAACAAAGAAAAGAGAGGGAGTCCTGGAGGTGTTTTCTGGAGGGGGGGAGAAGGAAGCTGCTGAATAAGCTGGAGATCTGGAAGGTTTTGCTGTTAGATTAGACTTTTGTTGAGCCAAAGCAAAAGAATAATAAAAACATCTGACAAGAGCACGTCATTTAGAAACCATTTCCTCCTTAACATCAAGCAGACCAGGAGGCCACTCCAGGGCCAAGAGGCAGCAGAGCCGCTCAGTAAGAGACAGTGTCTGGGGCCAGGTCAGCAAGCCCACATTGCCACTTGCCATCCTGGGCCAGCATCACAGGGACGTCTCCTCGGGGTCTGCCTTGGGAGCAGGTTCAAAATGCCTCTTGTGCTGGCAGAGGGGAGGTGGCTCAGCAGCAGGGTGGGAGCTCAGCCCTGGATCGCAGCTGTGAAGTTCAGCTCCGTGCAGAAACATCCCCAAGTTCAGGATTACTGAACTTGTTTCCCCTCAGTTTTGTCCAGGCATAGAGGAAGCTTTTTTCCCCTTTGCTCTTCCCGTTGTTAGGATCTTCACTTTGCTTTTCCAAAATAGTCATCCGTGTCCCTGCAGGTGTAATGGGATCGCCTGTCGTCCCAGTACATGTGGGACAGACCCCACTGCTCTTAAGTAGCTCTCGCTTGCACCAAGGAGGGCAGAAAACACTCTGCGAAAAAGATTTATTGAGAAATGTTGATAAAAGGGTTTTTTAATTCAAAAGCCCTCTTAAATATTCCCTTAGAAAATGTATATTTTAAAAATTAAACACAAGAAAATAATTTTTGTGAGGTTTCTGCAAGCTTGTTCTATTTCATTGGAAGGAGAAGAAAATGTGGGAGGGTTGGAGGGTGATCTGTTTTCTAGCAAGTTTTATCTCACTGGGACTGAGAGAAGCAAAAACTAAGGGAAAAAAAAGGCAAGCGGCAGAGCAGAGGGAGGGAGAAAGGCAGGGCTCTGCGGCAGGAGGAGCGGCATTTCAAGCAGAGATGAGCAAGAGTTGACACAACTGCTGGAGCCTCCAGCAAAATCCCTGTTTACCAGCACGAGATGCCTTAGAAACAGCTTCTTCTGCAGATCCAGCGTGGGGGGAACCAACCTCCCCGCCAGGAGGGAAAGGGCTGAAAACTGGGAAGAGATGGGAGCTTTCTGAAGTGGAGAAGGGAGCCCAGGGCTTGGGTGGGGGCTGGAGAACTCCCCCACCCAGGGTGGTCAAGGGGCCCCTCCTCTGCTCTCAGTGTTGTGCTCATCCCGCTTTGCTCTTGGCAGGATTCAGCCACCGAAACCTGGAGCCCACCATGCTGCGACGCTCTCCAAAGGCATCTCTTTGTCTCCTCATCCTCACCGGTGAGTGCCGTGGCTGGGGAGGGCTGTGCAGGACCGGACCCTCTGCGGGGATGCTGCTGTGGGGAGGCACAGCGGGGCAGAGCATCTGGGCATATCTGTCCCCCTTGATGGCTCGCGTCCATGGCAGACCCAGTCTTATGGTGGGGTGGATGTGAAGTTTTCACTTACTTCATGCTGGTGCACATTTGGGTGGAAGGAGAAGACCCTTGCAGAGGAAGGACTGTTGGGTCCGCTCAGCTCTGAGCAAACACCCAAGAGCCCTCAATAGTTTGACATTATGGATACCTCCACTGCAGAATGGGTTTCAGTCAGACCCCATATCTACAATAACCCCCCCACAGCAAGGTAACAGGGCCCCTGGCTGCATCTGGGCTGTTGCAGCGTTGCTGTGAGTCCCTGAGGACTGTCCTCAGCTGCCCTGCCCACCCATGAGGACACCAGGGAGGAGCACATGGTCCAGCCCCACCAGAACATCTGCGCAAAGGGTGAAGTGAGGAGGCTGAGAGAGACACAAGGAGCCATTCAGGAAGCCCTTGCCTGCTCTATTGCTTCCAAAGGATTTCCTGCAAGGTTTTGCCTTCATTCCTTTTGCTCTCTCTTGTCAACTGATGTTGTTTTAGCCTATTCTGTGTCCTGGCTGACACTGTCCCTGTGGAGAGCAACCAGCAGAGCAAGGAATGGCCTCATCTCCTCCTCTTGCCCTTGCGGGCTAAACACATGGCCTTTCTGAGCCTTTGAAGGTGCATCTGAGACCTTCCTCTGCCTTTACAAAGACAGGCTTCTTTTGGGGCCAGCAGTACGATCTGTACTGTCATCTCCCTGGGTTATCTAGACCAGCCCTCAGGATGCACAAAAGCCAAGAAGGAACAAACAGGCAGGGGAGGCTCAGGTCACCCCCATTTCCAGCCCAGGTGCCCTTTGGGCTGCTGCAACAGCATCACAGGTTGACAGGACATTTCTGAGGAGAGAATGTGTTTGTCAGTGGTGGCTATGCCAAGGAGGACAAGTCTGCAAAGGTTGTTTTTTGGTGTAAAGGCTGATGCTACAAAGCAAATACATTGGCGTGAGGTTATGCTCCAGCATGCGTCTCCTAGGATTTCAGGGGAATCCAATTTGATCTCATCTCCCTCTTTCCTCAGGTCTGCTGGAGGTCCCATCTGGGGGCAACGGGCTGCACATTGAACCTGGAGACACCGAGCTTGTCCTCAGCCTCCACAGCACGTTCTCCCTCCTGTGCTATGGGGAGGGCGCGCTGGTCTGGGAACGGGAGGGTCAGCCCCTCGCCGCCTCGCTGGAGCACAGGGATGGTGTCTTCATCAGCAATCTCACCCTCAGCAACGTGACGGGCCGTCACACTGGGGAGTACGCATGCACCTACAGCCCTGACCAGGCTCCAGAGCCAGTGGAGAGGAAAGCCCTGTACATCTACATTCCAGGTAGAGCACAGTGTGTCCTTGTCTCTGCATTTCTATGGGGTTTAGCAACCAGAAGAAAGAGGGCTTTGAACTATTGTTCTATCTCTAAGTACCTGGCCTCCAAAAATCCTTCCTCCCATTGCAGGAGAGCCCTCGCGGCCGGTCATCCGGCTGTGACATGTCTCTGGTGTGCCAGGTCGTGGGAGAGGCCCATATGTGGTGTGTTGGGATGAGTGCTGGGCGAGGCAGTGGTGCTAGGCAGCAGCATCTGGGTGCCTCTCACCCTCTCAGGAGAGGTTTAGCAAGCCTGCAACATGGAAACTCTACTTTGCTATGGGGAGAAAGAGAAGAAGCATGCCACCAGCCTGGAGACACAGCCCGGTGTTGCAGCAGTTCTGGAGGAGCATAGAGCAGCCCTGGTTCAGATTCAAGCAGCTTTCTGTAATCAGTGTTCCCTCTCTCCCACAGATCCCTCCCTAGTATTCCTCCCCACAATCACCTCAGAAGAGGTCTTCATCTTCATCACGGGCTACACAGAAGCTGTCATCCCATGTCGCGTGACCAACCCACAGATGCAGGTGACCCTCTATGAGAAAAAGGTGGAGATCCCCATCCCAGCAGCTTATGACCCACAACAGGGATTCAAAGGCTTCTTTGAGGATAAGACCTATTTCTGCCGAGCAATTGTGGGTGACCAGGAGGTGGATTCAGACACCTTCTACGTCTACAGGATCCAGGGTGAGCTGTCATTGTCCCAGCATACCTGAGCACCTGCTGTGGCTGTTCCTCAGCCCAATGGCAGGGAACAGCAAAGCTCTTCCACTGTCTCCTTAGCTACGTCCCTGATCCATGTGGAGTCTGGATTTAGTCCTGTGTCTGTTAGAGAAAGGGTTCTGCCAAAGTGTCAGCTCTGTCCCTCAGGGAAGAGACTGTCTGGTGGACCGGTCGACACAGGATAAATGGACAGGGTGCCCACTCATCCCTTCCTTCATCACTCATTCCTTTCTTTCACCTTTCCCACAGTCTCATCTGTGAATGTGTCCATCAGCGCGGTGCAGACCATAGTGCGTCAGGGAGAAAACATTACCCTGATGTGCACAGTGAGCGGCAATGAGCTGGTCAACTTCAACTGGGATTATCCCCGCAAGCAGGTGAGTCCTGCAGCCCCACAGACTCCGGGCAGCAGCTCCAGCCTTCACCCACATGTCCCATGGCAATCACTCATCAGTCGTACGAAGGTTCTTATGAAGCTTCACCCCATGGCGGAGGCTGTGGGATGCTGCTGCTGCCTCAGAGGGGGGCTTGATGGGGAGCATCTTGTATTAAGGCTGTCTCAGTGGCTTGTGATTGGTGCATGTCCCTTGTCCCTGTGGCAGCCAGACTGGGGTCCTCTACCACTTCTCCTCCCTCGTCTGGGTTGTAGCTCCAGTGGCAGAATATGCTTTTGACTTCTCAGACCATAACTCCTGTCCCTGTTGCTCAGGCAGGGAAGGCTGTGGAGCCAGTGACCGACTTCCTGCCCGGATCCACCCATGAAATCCGCTCCATCCTCATCATCCAGAACGCGGAGCTGGAGGACAGCGGGACCTACATCTGCAATGTCTCCGAGGGCTACCATGAGAAAACGGACCGGAAAGACATCACAGTCCATGTGATCGGTGCGTTACTGTCCACATGCCCAAAGCCAGCAAACCATGTGGGTGTCCGGGCAGGATGCCCTGGGGTGACAACCTCTTCTCTCTGCACAGTTTCCAGCTCTCTCCCCTCCTTGCCTCTGCCCTAAGTAACCATGGTAAAAAGGCCACCCTCACCCCATGTCACCCCTGCCCCTTCCTTGGCTTCAAAACACCCCAAATCTCCTGCCATGGCTTTTGTGACCCTTTAAGACACTAGAGAACATGGCAGAGAGCTCTTCTGCGCTATGCAGTGCCAAGGTGGCACAAGGTCGTATTATCGTCTCCCATCTATGTCTGTCCTTTCATGTGGGTTTGATTCCCGCTCGGTCCCCATGTGTTGCCTGGTCTAGTCGAGAGGTGGCGTCCCTGCCCACAACAGGGAGGCTGGACTAGATGATCTCTAAGGTCCCTTCCAGCCTAGGCCATTCTATGATTCTATGTAATTTGAGGGAACCATCTCGCAAGATAACAGCCCTTTCCCTGCATGCTGCCTGCTCCATGAGCTCCTCTCCTCTATTGCGGCTCTGCACCCGGGGTCCCCTCAGACACAAGACTGAAGCCTTGAGGGATGGATCTGGAGCTGCCCCACCACTTCTGGGTGTTTGGAGTGTTTTGTTCCAGATCCATGTTTGTGCAAAGGACTGGTTGTTTCTGACCCCCTCATCCTTCCTGCCCCCTCTCAGAGCGTGGCTTTGTGCGCTTCCACACGCGCCTGCCCAGCACAGTGTACGCAGAGGTCCACAAAAGCCACACCATCCAGGTGGAGGTGGAGGCCTACCCACAACCCAGCATTGTGTGGCTGAAGAACAACAAGACGTTGACCAGCAGCGAGTTCACCATCACCAGCAGGAACCTGTCAGAAACCAGGTGAGGGCCCATCATTCCTCATGGGGCTGCCGGGAAGGGGTAATTCACAAAGCAACCTCCAGATTGCTGGTTGGACGTGGGTTGTTGGTGGAACACCTTTCCCTGAGAGGATTTCAAGCGTGCCTCAGATGGGTAGAAGCTGGTAGCCTCTGAGCATTATCAGTCCCAGGTACCTTCCCACACCCGTCACTCTGGGGCTGTGTCTCCTCCAGGTACCAGACAGCTCTGGTGCTGGTGCGGGTAAAGCAGGAAGAAGGAGGATTTTACACCATCCGGGCTTCCAATGAGGATGATGAGCAGGAGCTGTCCTTCCATCTGCAGATAAATGGTGAGGATGGGCATGCAGACACAGGGCTGAGGAGTGTGGGGCAGTCTCAGGGGATGGCTCCATCCTTTGTAGAAGAACCCTCAGGTTGAAGCCCTTACTCCTCGGACTACAGCTCCAAAGGGCATTTGGTTAAAGGAAGAGCATCCAAGCAAGAAACATGCTCATTTGAAATATCTCACACTTGGTCTCAGAGCAAGGGGGACAGGGAGGCAGTACAGACAGCAGCAGCTTGGTCTTCATGCCTAAGGCAGTAGATGCAGAGATGACTGAGCAGCTCTGATGTCCAAGACTTTCCCCTTTGCTCGCCTGTGCTCTCCAAGCAAGCTAGAAGGGGGTGGATCTCCTCCATAACCCCCTCAAACCCTTCTCTTTCTGCTCTTAGCTTTTAAAAGTAAAACATGATTGATGTGATGAGTCCTATCACACTGTCCCCTCACCCCCAGGCAATGGTAGGGCTACAGTGGAATCACATTCTCCTTCCACCCCGCACTCTAGGGAGACTAATTCCCATCACTGTCTCTTGGTTTCAGTGCCAGCCAAAGTGGTGAATCTCAAGGAGAACAGCAGTGCCAGCAGTGGGGAGCAGACCATAACATGCTCTGCTGAAGGCATGCCCCAGCCAGAGATCAGCTGGTCTACCTGCACTGACATCAAATGGTAAGTGGAGTGATGGAGCCCATAGAAACAGCTCGACTTCCACATTTATTAAAATAATAGTCTATTCTTTTATTGTATTCTACTGGCCCACACACCCGGCCATCACATAGCGGTGCGTGGTCCCAGCTGCCTCTCAGGTGCCTTTATCCTCCCCCGGCCCAGGTGCAGCACCAAGGGACAGCCCACCCGGCTCCTGGGGAATGAGTCGGCAGAGATCGGGCTGCAGACCAACGCCACGTACCACGCGGAGCTGCAGGTGTACCGGGTGAACAGCACCCTGCAGCTGCACAGAGTGGACGAGCCCTTGCTCCTGAGATGCACCGTGAAAAACTTCCTGGGCACCAACTTCCAGGACATCACTCTGGTCCCACACAGTGAGTCCTGAGAGAGGTGTTTGAGCCGGTGGTGGGGAGCTGGACTTTTCTCTGTGTCTCCAGTCTGTAGGAGCTGGGAGACAGGACTGTTCTCTGATGGCTGCAGTTCTTAGAGACAGGAAACCTGGGTATTTCTAAAAATACGAAGCTTTCTTTGGGTTGAGGAGAGGATGCTCCAGGAGAAGTCTGGAGCCCTTATGTCCACTGGCCATGGACATCCTCTTCCCACGACTAGCAGGGTCATCCCTCCAGGGAGGCAAGATAAGAGCACCTGAGCAGGTCACTGGTGTCTTGTTATTAGCCTGTGGGTCACTAGATGGTGCCACGGACTTGAATACCCATGTGTTGAACACTAAATTTGAGAAAGGATGGTCTAAGTCCAAGCCCAGAGCTGACAGCTCTCTTCCAAGCAAACCAGCCCCTCTAGTTCCTCACACTCTCCTGTGATTAAACCTCTCCCAAGGCAGCAAACCCTTCAAGAGTCTGTAACAACCTCCCACCCTGTTATCTGTGGGGTGATGGCTCTGCAAATGCTGGGCAGGTCTGCCTGGGAGGAGAGGACGGGGACTGCCCCCACCAGAGGAGAGCTCAGGGTTGATGCCTGGAGAGGGGAGGTGTGTAGCAGGAGGGGGATGGTGGATAGAGGAGGGAAGGGGAAGAGCATGGGGACCCCCTCTGTGCTGCTGTCCCCTCTTTTCCCCAGGGTACTCATGTCATGCAAAGGTGAAGGAGTCTGACTGCTGTCTCTATTATCATTGTAGCCTTGCCATTCAAGGTGGTCATCATCTCTGTCATCCTGGCCTTGCTGGTCCTCACCGTTATCTCCCTGATCATCCTGATCGTCCTGTGGCAGAAGGTAAAAGAGGAGAGTGTTCTCAGTGGTACCCCTGTGTTAGGGTGGCTGGGAAGAGCAAAGCTGTGGGTTCCTGCTGGCATGGACTTGATAATGTCCCACTCATGGCCATGGGCCTCCATCAGTCTCTGCATGCCTCTGGCATCCGCAGCCTAGCTGGGGAATGAGGCAATGGCTGCAGCTCCCAAAGACTCCCTAACAAAGCTCATACACATCCCTCACGCCCTCTCTGCCCCTCAGCCTCTCAATGTCGCTATTTCCCTTTGCTCCCCTTTCCAGAAACCTCGTTATGAAATCCGCTGGAAGGTGATCGAGTCAGTCAGCTCCGATGGGCACGAGTACATCTACGTGGATCCCATGCAGCTCCCATACGACTCCAGCTGGGAGGTGCCCAGGGACAAGCTGGTGTTAGGTAAAGGCCCTGCAGGTCCCACTGATGGACCCCTGTGGTCCTGGCTGTTTGGGGGTGATAGATTTGGGTTTGGGATCTCCAGAATGGACTAATCCAGAACAGGCAGAGATCCCTGGAGATATGATGTGGTCCTGGAACAGGGGGCTATCTGGGACCACCTGGGACCAAGCTGCCCTCTTTGACACAAAGCACTGGGTTGTTCCTGGCTGTCCCTTGCAGCTGGCAGCTCCTTCCCTTCCCAGTCAGATGGAAACCAGCTCTAACCCCAAACATCATAGCTCACATCCACCTTCCTGCGCACCAGGATGACTGCAGCAAGTCTGTGTGGTTTCAGACAGGTGGCTTGTCTCCTCTCCTCACCTCTCCTTGAGGACCATCACCAGCTTTGTCTCCTCACTGTTTCTTTGCAGGACGCACTCTTGGCTCTGGTGCCTTCGGACGGGTGGTGGAGGCAACAGCCCATGGCCTGAGCCACTCACAGTCCAGCATGAAAGTGGCAGTCAAAATGCTCAAGTGTGAGTTGCCCCCACACCGTCCCTATCCCCCATCCAAAGGCTGCAAGGCCAGACAGTGCCCATGCATTGCCCTCCTTGCGTTGTCGTTCACACTGGCTCTCCCCCACAGCCACCGCCCGGAGCAGCGAGAAGCAAGCCCTTATGTCTGAGCTGAAGATCATGAGCCACCTGGGACCTCACCTCAACATTGTCAACTTGCTGGGGGCCTGCACCAAAGGAGGTAGCTGAAGCCCAGGTGCCTTTTCTCCTCTCCCTGCTGCCCTGGGCTGTGCTCAGGAGGAGAACTGTCCTCAGAGGGAATAATTTTCTGGGTCAGAATGATTCACCCTTCCCGTAGGAAAGCCTTGTGAGGCTCTGAAAGCCTTTCTTTCCAACCTGATTGAAACTGAGAAGGCATGATTTTGTCAACCCCCACCTCCCTCCCCAAACACAAATTTTGAATTCCCAAAATGCTCCGTACCAAAAAGGTGTCTTTTCCTCCTGGCCCTGCTTAGACATCCTGCAAGGTGGTAACATCCCTCTGGGAGGAAATTCACTGCCCTGGAGAGTGAGCAGGGCTGAGGTAGGGCTGAGGGTCTGTTGTCCCACCAGGTCCCATCTACATCATCACCGAATACTGCCGCTATGGGGACCTGGTGGACTACCTGCACCGCAACAAGCACACCTTTCTGCAGTCCTATGGTGAGAAGGCTCGGCGAGAGGCAGAGCTCTACGGGAACACCGCCAAGGAGGACCACGTGCAGAGGTAGCCAGAAAGCAGCACCTTCCCCTTCCCTGGCACCTACCCCATCCTAGCCCCCATCAGTGAGGGAGGCTGGTACTGCCAGGAAGGACACCTACATTTCTTCCAGACCAGTAAAATAGAAGCTGGCCCAGCATCGGGACACAGCTAGCTGCTCTGGTGGCCGGTGAGACTATCCCATGTGCCCGCCAGCCACCTCCGAGCAGCTTCTGACAGATGAGGAGTTAGCAAGGACAGTCTGTGTGTCCCGGCGGCTGAGTTTGCTAGCACACACACCGGCTGCTACGTGCCGGTTGGGAATATTCCCTGTCATCCCTAATTTCACAGGCATAACCATAGCTGTGTGTGGAGTATGGAGATGAAGGTTTTCCCAGCATATCATAGCCCTTGGAGACCTCAGCTCTGCATTTTCAGGGCAGAGCCTAAGGGAGAAGTGCTAGAAGGAGTGCGGTTGCACAAGAAGTGCTACAAGGAGAGGGAAATGTCTGGTGCCAGCTGTAAGGGATGCAGGCTCACCAGCACAGAGAAGCAGTCCCATGGGAAGTTAGAAAGCAGTATTTCCTTCCAGCACACCGAAACGATATTAAGTAGAGCAGTGTTAGGACATCAGCACAGCTGCCCCCTGTGCTTTCTGCTTGAAGGCAGCCGAGATCCTCGTAAGCACTAAGTGCAGTCTCCAAAGCCAATGGGAACATGCCCCACAGCTCTGGGACAGAGGATTTCCCTTGCCCAGCATCAGCCTCAGATGCTGTTTCCCAAGTGCAGTTTTTGCTCACTCAAGGAAGAAGTGCTCAAGGGTGCAGAAGTTTGCTGAACCTAACTGGGAAGGTTTAATTGTGAGCAGAGGGTTGTGTCCTACCTGCTCAGTTCAACCTTCTCCCAGCTGATCCTGGCCAGCCTGGGAACATGCACAATCAAGGTGGAGGGGTTTGCCTGACCACACTGGCTTAGGTCTCATGCTCTCCTGCTCTGTGGGTGTCTGCAGAGCTGCATGATCCTGGCTCCCCTTCCTGGCCGCCCCCAGCACTGAGCTCGTGTTCTGAGCCAAGCCTGTGCTCTGCCAGGCAAGGTGAGCATGAGGAGTTTCATCCTGTGGGCAAGGACACCTGGAGACCCACTAGAGAATGTGGCAGGGCAGTTTAAAGCTAGTGCTGAGGACACCTGGGCTGTTAGGTGGTGGCAGGTGGTCTCCAGTGCCATTTGCACTTCACCGCGTGCGTGATGAAAGGCTTCTTTCCCTGCTGTGTGGGATATTTCAGTGCTGGGACCAAGGGTTCAGCAATTGCAGTCCTGTAAATCGTTGTCCACCTCCCCTGCGTTTCCTCCTCTCCTCTGGATCTAAACAGCCTTGTTGCTTTCCCCCACAGTCACCTCTCCTTGTCTGTTGAGAGCGATGGGGGCTACATGGACATGAGCAAGGACGACTCCCTGGATTACGTGCCCATGTCTGACATGAAGGGTGAAGTCAAGTATGCTGACATCGAGTCCTCTAACTATGGCACCCCTTATGAGCTGGACAGCTATTCCCCATCAGGTAACAGCGCAGCCATAGCGGGAGGGAGAGGTGCTTGCACTTTGGGCGCTGGATGCCTTTGCTTGTAGAGATGAATGGTCCATATTGCAAAGGTCACCTTTGGGACAAGTCAGACTGCAGTGGTGGCAGATGCTGGGAGCTCCTGGCTCTGTCCCTTTGTTGCTGAAGGCAAAGCAATCCCTTGTGGATCCTTCCACTGGCAAATAGTCTGTGAGCGTGGTAAGTAACATCAACATCCATCTCTGCTTGCCCTCCAGCTCCCGAAAGGACAGACCGGGTGACGCTGATAAACGAGTCTCCACTCCTCAGCTACATGGACTTGGTGGGCTTCAGCTTCCAGGTGGCCAATGGGATGGAGTTCCTGGCTTCCAAAAATGTAAGTTGTCAGCTGGTCCATGGTGCCTGCGGCGGTGGAGACCAACAACACTCTGCCGTGTCCTGTGGTCAGCTACTGCTCACTGTCTCTCTGCCCATGCCAACCTCCTCGTGGGAGAAGTGGCTGTGCAGTTGAAGAGCTGCTGCCCACTTCTCTTTGGAAACACAGCCCTGGGGATCAGCATGACTATATTTGCACGTCACAGCTAACTCTGGCTTAGATTGAGCTTCAGACCTCAGATTCTCTGACTCTGAGCTCCTCCCAAGCCATGTGCGGCACAGCTGTGGTTTCATCCCTGTTTACCCATGACCAAACCCTGTGCTAAAGCACAGTCCGCAGCAGAGCTACTACTCTGCAGAGGCACCTCTGTTGCACTCTGTGCTCTGAGCCCCCCAGGCCTAATCAGATGTGCTCGTTCAGTGGAAATTAAGCCATCGCACAGGACTAGGCTCTGGGATTTCTTAAGGTCTGGCTTAGCCAAGGGCAGGAAGTAGTACAGTTGGAACATCACACAGGGCAGAGCTAAGAGAAGGGCTAGGAATGGCATCAAAGATGTACAGAGAGAAATGACTGGCTCTCTACCTCCAGCCAGACAGTCTGATCCCCAAAAGTGTATGGTGAGTGCTCTCCCACGGAGCACAGAAGAGGAGCTCCCAGCTTCCCACAGTCACGCTTTACAGCAGTGTAATATCACCAGGCTCGCTAGTAGTGTCTGGCAGGGCCTTGAACACACTTTCAGGCTGTTCATATGGAAAAAATCCAACATGCTGGCAAACCAGGAGGCACAAGACAGGCTGGTGTAACTCTGGTGTCTTCAGGCTGCTGAGTTGGATTGTCCAAACAGAGATGGAGACACGGCCCCCTTGCAAGCCCCTTGCTCGGTCAGACCTTGGCAGTTCCCTTTCTGCTGGGTTGTTCAAATCATCCTTGCTGGGTTTGGATGCCTGTTGCTGTCAGGGCAGTAGCAGTCCAGGTGAGCAGTGAAAATGTGGTAGCTCTGCTGGTGATTTTGAGCCATGATTGTCACTGGAGGTGGAGGAGATGCCTCAAATGATGTGAGGTGACTCCTGTCCCTGCAGCCCCAGAAATGGGCTAGTGCTGGAGCTGGGCTACTTCCTGGGGCTGTCTGGGGGCCCCTCAAAGTGACAGTGCCCTGCTGCCCCCCTACAGTGTGTGCATCGTGACCTGGCTGCCAGGAACGTCCTCATCTGTGAGGGGAAGCTGGTGAAGATCTGTGACTTTGGCCTGGCAAGGGACATCATGAGGGATTCCAATTACATCTCCAAAGGCAGCGTGAGTACCAGGAGCTGTACAAGCCCCTTCTTCCCAAGGCTCTGGGCCTGGCACCCCAGACATGCTCCCCCTGCAAGTTGCCTGTCCATCGTTGTGCCCAGGGGTGGTGACAGGGCAAGGCTCCCAGGAGATGGGATGGTGTCAGTGGCCAACCATCCCGCACCTGATGTGCTCTGCAAGCCATGGAGTGGCAGAATTTCATGGCCGTATCTCCAGGCTCTTGCAGAAGAACCTGGGCAGCAGAAGCAAGACTAAGGATTGTCTGCTGTGCACCCCATCACCGGCAGCAGTGCTGCATCCCTTCCCTGCAGAGCACAGAGTCTGCTCCTGAGCTCCAGGCAGGATGGGTGCAAGGTGAGGCAGCTTGACAGTGCTGCGGTGAGTCACTGGCCACTCTGGGAAGAGGTTCACAGACTTCTGCTCTAACCACTAGACCACAGGGTAAGAGGAAGTGTTTCCCAGAGAGCAGCTACTTTCCAGAAAGGTGTATCCAATCTTTCGAGGCAGGAGAGGATGAGGCTGTAACTGAGCTTCCCCAGAACCTCCCCTGTGACTTCAACAACATCATATCCACTCCAGCCGTGGGGCATTTGGGAATGGGCAACCCTAAACCAAAATTCCCAGAGACACTGAGCCTGGGGGAGCTGAGAGTGGAGGCAGGCCCCTCAAACCACAATCTTTATCTGCTCCATGAATTAATTCCTCCCCTGCTTTCTCTCGTTTGCATGGGATGACAGACAGGCGCTCCGTGCCTGGACAGGGAGACCCTCCTGCAGAGGGGCTGGGGTTTTCTAGTCCAGCCATTACGTAGCTGCTTTTCCTTCCAAAATGGGAAACGAAACCGGGCCCCTTTGCAATCCTTCCTGGAGATTATTTTGGTATTCATTATGCAAGCAAATCCCAGGAACAGCACAGACAGTGCTGCATACAAACTTGTCAAGTGAGGCTTCTTTCTGTGTATCACTCTAAGAGCAGGAAAAAGCTGGATGTGCCCTTCAGCTCTTTTCTTGTCGTCTCATAGCCCTCTACAGCCTGTTCTCAGGTTTCCAAAGTCCAGATAGGCCTGGACTCCCTTCGGGGGTGCTGTGGTCATGTTTTGCAAGCCAATGGACTCCCCAGGAACTAGGGAGCAGAGAATGCACACCATGACAGCCCATCCCAGCAGACAGTGATGGGAACAGACGTAGCACTCCCGCTCTTTCCTCCTGCCTGCTGGGTTCATCCTGCACAAGCGAAGATGAAATTGGTCCCTCCAAGAAGTGGCTGGGAGCAGATGACAGCAGATGTCAGCAGATGTATTGAGCTGACAGGCAGCTCTGAGGGGTCTTCTCTGCTTGTGAACTGGATGTCAGGCTCTCACTTGTTGAAACAAGTGCTGTAGATGCAGCTGACTCTCTTATTCAATTTATTTTCTTCTTAGACCTTCTTGCCCCTTAAGTGGATGGCTCCAGAGAGCATCTTCAACAACCTCTACACCACCCTGAGCGATGTGTGGTCCTTCGGGATTCTCCTCTGGGAGATATTCACTCTAGGTAAGTGCCTTGGAGATCGTGGCAGTATCTGTAGGAATGATAGCAGAATCCCCTCTCAGAGACAATAGAAATCCATTTCTAATTCCCCCAAGTCCCAGCCGCACCAGTCAGAGTAGCACTTCATTCCTTGTCTCCTTCTTTCCCATGCTGACGTTGCCATTTGGAAGTAAAATGAAACAGGAAAGGTAAAGAAAGAAGGACACCTTCGTGTGAAATGCGTGTTGGCATAGGGGTGGCCGGCAATCCCCCAGCCTGACTTCTGCTCTCCCTTTACACCCAGGGGGGACTCCATACCCGGAACTGCCTATGAACGAACAGTTCTACAACGCCATCAAACGTGGCTATCGGATGTCCAAACCCACCCATGCCTCTGATGAAATGTAAGTGCTGCCCCTACCCATTTGTCCTCAGCCTGTGGAAGCATTTCTACCTCTGTTTTCCCCACCTGCTAACTGAAGTGCTCTCTCTTTCTTCTTGTTAGCTACGATATCATGCAGAAGTGCTGGGAGGAAAAGTTTGAGATCAGACCATCCTTCTCACAGCTGGTGGTGCTTATGGGAAACCTTTTGGTGGATTGCTACAGAAAGGTATGTTCAAAGGACCCTCTGTTGGGGGGACACAAGGTGGTCAGTGCTCTGTGGAGGGTGCTACCTTGGTTTAGGTCCTCAGTCAGAGTTTGGAGACCAGCATTTAGTGCTGCTGTGGCAGAGGACTTTGTTGTGACTAAGACCTCATGAATCTGAACAGCTGATGAAGGTGGTTTGGGCATCCTGGGAACATTGCTGAGACAACTGGTGTCATCAGGAAGGCAGCTGGTATCTCGACAACGGCGGAAATCAGAACTGGCAGGAGATCAAAAATCTGCCTCCGACTATTCAGTGTCTTGGAGCTGTGGCTTTGTGCCCCTGAAATGTTCATAACCTTAGGAGATGTTTGTGACCTGGTTTTGGTGAAGTCAGGGTAGCTGCACCCAGCTAGAAGTTGCCAGCCCATCTAGAAAAAGCCTAGCAGGCACGGAAAGCAAATACAACACCAGTGCATTTTCTCCACTCACAAGACCTTCCTGTTTCTTTGGTGACCTGCCCTGCGAGAGCAGAGGTACCAGCAGGTGGATGAAGAGTTCATGAAGAGTGACCACCCCGCAGTTGTCCGCACAAGACCCGTAATCCCCGGGCTGAACAACGCCAGGCTCGCTGCCAGCAGCATCCTCTACACAGCCGTGCACCAGAACGGGGGCGAGAATGATTATATCATCCCTCTTCCCGACCCTAAACCCGAGGCAATCTGTGATCTCCCTCAGGAGGCCTCCATCAGCCGGGCCAGGTAAAAAACATTGCTTTTGATGTTGTCCCTTGCCCCGACTGCCCAAATCTGAATACGGGGTCCTGAAGAGGAAATTGGGATGCTCTGTTGAGAGATAGACCAGGGGTGGATTCGTTGGGAGAGAAGGAAGGCAGTGTCACCCTGCTCTGAGGGGCTGTGACCTTGCACGAGCTCTCAGGGGTGGAGATGAAGCAGAGGAGCTGGAACATGAGCTACGTTAGGGTGCTGTGTCACATCCCTGTACATCAGCCAGCACAGCTGGGGACAGGTGACCTCGCTCACAAGGAGGGCAGCACCTGGGCTCACAGGCTGCAGAACCCGCCAGCTGCATGTTGGGCTTGAGGGCTGAATAGACCCAGCCCATAATGTCTGTTCCCCTGCGGAAAGCTCCTCAGATAGAATGGGGCTGCTGGGAGCTTGACACGCTTCTCGGCTGTTGGGAATCCTCTCCCACCAGAAGACTTGGGACAAGACACTCATTTCTCTCTCCCTCTTGTCTCCCTTCAGCTCGATGCTCAACGAGGCCAACACATCGTCTACAATATCCTGTGACAGCCCTCTGGGCCTCCGGCAGGACGAGGAGCAGGAATCAGACACACAGCCCAGCTGCCAGGAGCCGGCCACGGGGCACCAAGAGGTGGAGGAGAGTTTCCTGTAGTTGGAGCAGGGCTGACTCTGCATCTCCTTAAGGAGAGGCCGGCTGAGGGGCTGACCCAGACATCACAGAGAGCCATGCTTTGCAATTCTACATCGGGACATCCCCACCTGTCCCAGCATTCCTCCTTCCCTCCCATCTCCCAGCGCTGGGTGGGGAATTAAAGACATTTCCCCATTGCAATCTCCTTACAAAGAGGTGGCTCCGTGCCAGCAACCTTCCAGATCACTGCCACATCCTCCTCAGTGATCAAACCACTGCAGGAGGGAGACATCTCACAGACCAACATCTTCTTTTCAAGTGGAAGACGTGGGCTGGATCTCCACAAGAGACGCCACTTTCTGCATTGCTAAGATGACACTCAGGCCTCTTCCCTCTCCATGGCAAGGAGTTTCATCTCCTCTGCACCAGCACTTCTCTGATCGTCTCGGCATTAGCCACCCTGTGGTTCTGTGAAATGCCACCAGGACAGATGATTTGCTTGGAGCCCATTGCTGGCATGTAGAGAACCTGCAACACCAGCCTTCATCTGCTGGAGATCAAGAGCACGTTGGGTAGATTCTCCTCCAAGCACAGCCAAGTCCTGGAGAGACCAGCCAGTGTTTCAGAGATAGTGAATCACCATTTTCCTTTCTCGACAGCTCTTCTACGGTGGACAAAGTGTCACAAGCACTACAGGTACCCGTGGCACAGCTCTGCACCCACCTAGAGAGGCTGTCACACCCTGAAGCCTTTTGTGCCGAGCATGGCACCAGGAGCCCCAAGGGCATGCCAGGAACTTGAAATGCTCTGACAGTGACTCCGTTGTTGTAGCAAACAGGGCAGTCCAGTGTTGTTCATGTCGTCTGTGTGGACACTAAGCTAATTATTCTCCACTGAAGATTTAAAGGGAACAAATATATTAATCCACTAGCCAGGGCCAGTATAAGGAAGCAATATGGCTATTCATTAATCTACTGCCACTAAGCCCAGCTTATCTGCTGGGAAATCATATAACCCTGCCAGCTGCAAAATCATCGTGCCTTATCTTTGGGAAGCAAGAGCTCCCTTTTGACAGACTGTTCACCCAAACAGCCTTTCTCAGGATGGGAGGTCTCACCGGTCCCTCCTGAGTCACAGCAGTGAGTGTGCGAGAACACCAACCCAGGGGCATCTCAAGAGGGAGAGGGAGAGAGGCTGGGGAGCTCTTTGGTCACGGCTGGACTGTACCTCCCCCCCTGACACTTTCTCGGGGCCAGGCACAGCCGCTTGCAGCCTGCCGGGGCCATGAGGAACCAGGCAGAGGAAGAGGAATCGGGGAGGATTCCTCTCTCTTGCAAAGTGTCTTGAAGAACAAAAGGGCAGAGACCTTCCTCCTGCTTCCCACCTCCTCACAGCCAGGCCTGGGACTTCTTGTGCTCTCAGCCTCTGCAGGAACACGGAACCTCAAAGCAGGAGGAACGCCAGGCGTTTGAAATCAGTTGAGAACCCTGCCTCTGCAGAGGTGAAATCTGGCCCCCAAATCTACGGGTCTGACACCACAGAAACTAGCAGGGTATTTTTTGGAAAGGAGAAATTGTGCCTTGCATGGAGCTCTGTTCACTGTGTGCCCCTCACTCGCATTAACCCCTTCATTGCCCTACTCATGCACATATCTCTGTGCACCCTACAAAAAAAAATTGCACAGGCAGGTTTACAAATTCAGAAATTCAGTGTCTTGCTGGACTTACACCACCTCAGAACCACTGAGATTTTTTTTTAAATATATGAAACTTCTGCCAGAAATCCCGAGCAAACCACCCTCTGGTTAAAATTGTCTGTTGTTGCAATGCTGCCAATTATGCAACTAAAAGAGGAGTAGGTGTTTTGTGGACTGATAGCCTTGATAAAATGTGAACCTAAGAAACAGCACTTTTATTGGCAACCAGTGGAATATATTTTCAGCCCATGTGGTCAGATTCCCCACCATCCATAGGAAACACACTGTGAATGACAACCATTTTTCCAAGCTCTGTTCCTCCTGCTTGTAATGAAGAAGCCATCTTTTGTGGCCACAGTTCGTGAAGTGATCCTAACCGTGGAGAAAGAGTAACTTGGGGTCAGCCCACTTTATTTTTCTAACATGTAAGGTGCTTGGTAGGATCCATGTCACTGCAACTTGAGCCCATAGGATGGCACATCAGAACATCCTAATAGCCCCTTTCTACACCAGCTCCATTTTTAGTATGTCCTTCTCTACCAGAGGTGGCCAGAAGCACCCAGTACTCCAGGTGAGGTCAAATCCAGACCTCGCATAGGGCATTAATAGTTGTGGTCTGTACTGGATCCAACTTGCCTGGTGTGGGTTTGGGTAAGTGTTGGCCTTTTCCCAGCCACAACATACTGGTAGTTTCGAGTCATCCTCTGACCAGTCTAAGCACCTACGTCTTTCTACTCTTCCAGCACTTCTAACCAAGATATTCCCTGCTGTTCCAGACATTGGGTCATCAGCACATTTTGTTAACAAACTGTTATTTTTGGGCTGGACAGAGTAGTAAAAATATTAAATACTTCTAGCATCAAGAGAAACGCTAGAGAGCTATTTTTACTACCTCTGTCCAGCCCAAAGATTTCCCCATCGATTAACCCTTTCTCACACTTTCTTTTTTGGCCATTTGCTTATTTACTTTACAAATCCTGTCCTAAACTCCACCTGGTAGAGATTAATTACTAATTAAATTACTAATTTCCCACTATCAGATAGTTTCCAGAGTCCTGAAAGAGGAGATCTATTTCTTCTCCCTGCCATGGGATCTCAGGTATCCTGTTCTATTAGCTGGGCATTAGCTACACTCGGCTATTGCATTTTGTCCCATTTGTAGGTTTATTGCAATTATTCCTTACATCAAAACCAGTTCTGGCTAATGACAAGGTGCTAACCCCACCACCCTCTTCCTTCTTAAAGTAGGCACGCCGGCCACTTTCTAAAACGGTTCTCCACTCCACAGAGAGACATGACCAATGGGGTTGCGAGGGCCAAGTCTTGCACTTTGTGGTACTTTGCCATCCTTACTCAACTCCTCCCATCACCAGTTAGCGAGGGCACGCACACACACCGCAGTGAGCAGATCTTCTCTGATCTTTCTCTGGGCAGATCTTTGGCACAAGCTGCCCAGTGAAGTTGTGGAGTCTCCTCTGGAGACTTTCAAAACCCGCCTGGACGCGTTCCTTTGTGGCTGCCCCAGGAGATCTTGCTCTGGCAGGAGGGTTGGACTAGACGATCTCTAGATGTCCCTTCCAACCCCCAACATTTGTGATTCTATGATTGTCAGCCAGGGACAGGCTGGCAGCTGGGCAAAGCCAACATGTTTTGCGAAGCATCCCTGCAAGTCCCCTCAAAGAGAGGGCTTGGCAGGGCAAGGGCTTGCAGCAGTCCCCCCCGACAAGCTCCCTCTGGTCAGGGTGCCAGCTCCAGCTCCCCGCTCGCTCTCTCTGATGCCAACTTTCCAGTCCCCCCATGGCCCGGGCGGGTGAGGGCCAGGAGGCTGTTCTGGGACCGTGTCTTTTGTAACAATAGTTTCTCTGGTGAGACTGAAAGGAATCAGTCCCTCTGGGTTTCTAGTTTCAAGCATCACTGTTTTTGTTTGGGTGTGGTTTTGTGTTTAGAGGTGGACCCAAACCAAGGCCCCCCAAAAAGGGACACATGCCACAGTTTGGCCCATCTCTAGTGCAATATCTTTTATTTGTAGGCTATATTTTATTCTACAGCTGTTACAGTGTTATCAGCACCAGTATATGCATACTCCTACCGCCAGTCACTATTTCATACATACCTATGTGTATCCCAGAAACTAATGTGACGCTCCAGTGCCGCTTTCCACATTTAAGACGCTTCTCAGACTGATGTGTGCGCAAGTTTTAACCCTTTCATCCTTCTCGGTTTGAGCGCATTATGTATTTTTTTAAGCGAGAGTGTAATGTTTAGTGTTTGTGTTGTGTTAAGAAATCTAGAGCACAGCGGACTTTACTTGTAACTAAAAGGTCTCTGTTCACCTGCCGAGGGGACTGTGGCCGTGTCCCACAGGGACAGGGGGCAGAAGAGCAGTGCAGATGTGCAGCTGGGAGGAAGTCAGCCAGGAGTGAGAAACGGCTCTTCCCCTTCTTCCCAGTCAGGGCTCTGGGCTGGGGAAGAGGCAGCACCACAAATAGAGGGCACTGGGCAGCGGGTTGGGGTTTGGCTGTGGGGAAGCCTGAATTCTGCCTGGGTAAAGTTGGGCAGATTTGGAGAAGGGGATTTCACAGATGTCTCTTCTTTTTTTTTTTTTTCCCCTACAATGAGATGTCAGCGAACGTGCTAAACTTCATGCTCCAACACATAGGCATGAGGAGGGGCTCTGGTCGGACTTCTAGCTCAGATCCTAGGACCAGTACAGCCAGTTCACGGTGCAAACCACAGGATCTCCTGTTCAGACAGGAGAGCAGCAGGCTGCCAAGCCAGCCACAGGGAGCCGGGACACAGCCTGCCTGCTCTCTTCTCTTGGAGAACCTGAAGGTTGCCCTTTGGCAGCCCTTGGCAGCCTCTTGGCTGGCTGCACAGACAGAGAGGAGCCAGGGCAGCTGCAGGTCCTCACTGGGTGCTGGGCAGATCCAGGGCCATACACAGGTCCTTCCCACAGCAGACCCCAGCCCTGCCTGGATGCTGAGCAGCCAGTGCTGGCTCTGACAGTGAAGGCACCGCGTGGCTGCAGGACTTGCCCAGGGCAGGCCAGGTATTGTTAAAAAATCAGATTTCGTGGACCAGCACATGGGTAACTGGGCTCCCAGTATAATTCCCATGTTTTACCCAGGGGGTTCACATCTCTGGGACGTGCCAAGGTGGATCCAATTGGCTTTGGCAAGGGTAGGGGAACTGCTCCAGGGAGGCTCCAACAGCACTTCAGAGAGATGACTTGCAGGGATGGGAGGAGGCAGGGAAGCCAGCTCGTGCTGGAAGACCTGCAGCATCCCATCGTTCCTGTCCTTTCCTCCTTCATGGATTGCTCCAG